AGTTGTAAAACAACCCAGTGGTAGATGGAATTTGCTCCAGGGCTTAAGAACAGTAAATGACATAGCTGAGCCTCTACATCTTGTGGTTTCTAACCTCTACACTATAATAGACAAAGTGCTAGTCTATAGGCCTTTTATTGTAAGAACCACCTTCCCTCTGTAATTTGGTTTGTGCCACTACTAGAACCTCTACTCGGAATATTATTGCTTGTTAATTTTTGACTCATGTACTTTTAACTTGGTAGTTAAATTTGTGTCTTCTATGCTGCAACACTTCCATGATACATCTTCAAGGATATGAACATGTACGGCTAAGCACGATTGATAACAGTGCATATAAATTCCAAAATCAATCTCCTTAATAGTCTATGTGTTTCCTACTGCCAAAGGTGCCCTTTAGAGTAGTGAGAGAAGAACTTAATGCTCACCCACAGCTCTTCTGGGAGGATCTATAAAGTCTTTTTTTTTTCTTTTTTTCTTTTATTGGGAAAAACATATTGGGGGTACAGGGAGGTGAGGGTTGGGGGCAGAAGGGTGCGGATGGGCCTGGATACAGTTGCAGAGCTGCACAGTTTGGTTGGTGGGGGAGCAGGTGAAGGAAATGATGAGGGTCCAGTGGGGACCAGATGCTACAGAGGAATGACAAGCATTTCCCAATGGTAATTAAACCATCTGTCTTATTGATTTGTGAATTGGATGCCTACTCTCTGTCTTCTTCATGCTGAACAGGGGCGTAGATGTAAAGGAGGGAAGGGAGGACGCTTTATCTCCTTACTGGTGGTCTTGGGTTAAAGCTGCTTGCCTTCTTGCTCTGTTAGAAGATATTTTCCTGTCATTTGCTCCCCTCTGGACTGCAAAGTGGTTTCCCAGGTGGGTCCAGTGGGGATGGCTGGATGAACCCAGAGACTCCATCCTCCTTTGCTTCTTTAGGTGTCAGTTGTATTTCCTTTTTGTCACTGGCACTGGGTTCAGGGTCAATTCTGGAGAAAAACTCAGTGTTAAGGCTACCTATAGGAAAGGGAGCAAACCTAGAGAGAACAAACTTGTGAGTTACAAATAGAAGGGCTTTGAGGGTGTTGCTTTCAGGTTTTCTGGGGGGAGTATAGCAGAAGGTCGCCTAGGTAACATTCTCTGGACGTCCTAGGCATTCTTTTTTTTTCCCCCTTTCCCACCCAGGGGTCAGATGGCACAATTTGGGGACTGAGGAGCTCACTGTGAGGGCCGCGACGGCTCGCCCTGAGCCAGGGGTCGATGGTAGCCCGCTCTGGGCAGAGGGCCGTGACGGCTCACCCCGAGCCGGGGCCGAGGGCAGCCTGCCCCGGGCAGAGGGCTTCATCAACTTGTCCCGAGCCGGGGGTCGAGGGCAGGCCATCCCGAGCAGGGCAATACCCCACAGGAGCTGGCTGGTATACTCCCCCTCCAATTGCCCCTACCCCAGGCTGGTCCCCT